TAAATTTGGAGAATCAGGTCAGTATATCTGAGATTGCTTCTTCTTTTGATTCTGAATTAGAATCTGAAACTGAGGTAATTGTTTCTCCTGTCAAATCACATAATAACATGGAAACTTTAAGGGAACTAGCTGCACCTGACCTTCAGACTCAGCCCATGTCCATTACTTATGCTGTTTTGGAAAAACCATTGAAATTAAACTCTGGATTTTTGAATATGCTTCCCAAGTTTCATGGCTTGCCTGGTGAAGACCCTTATAGACATGTTAATGAGTTCCTCATAACATGCGCAGCCATGGAACCTGAAGGAGTTCCTCAAGAACAAATCAGACTTAGGGCCTTTCCTTTTTCAGTGATGGATAGAGCAAAGGATTGGCTGTACTATATGCCTCCTGGATCTTTTACAACCTGGCCATCACTGCATAGGGCATTCTTAGAGGAATTCTTTCCTGCCTCTAGAATAGGATCTATTAGGAAGGACATCTGTGGGATAAAACAAATGGGGAATGAATCATTTTCTAAATATTGGAAGAGATTCAATAAACTCTGTGTTAGTTGTCCTCAGCATAAATCTCTGAACAGCTGCTCATCCAGTACTTCTATGAAGGGTTATCCCTAATGGATAGAAGTATGGTAGATGCTGCTAGTGGTGGTGCTCTAGTTACTAAGACCCCAGAGGAAGCTAGGAATTTGTTCAATCTTATATCTCAGAATACACAACAATTTGGACTAAGGATAAATGAACCAAAAAAGGAAACTGAATCTCTTGCAGCCCTCACTGATCACATTGCAAACCTTACCAAAATTATGGGTCAAATGGTTAGTGTGGGGGGAATAAAGAAGTCAGTTTGCTCTGTGTGTAGTCTAGAAGGGCATACTTCAGAAGTGTGTCCCAGTTTTCAAAATCAAATGTTTTCAGCTCCTGGTTTTCACTCTGAAAATTTTCAAAATTGTGAGGTCAAAGCTGCTTTTAACAACCAAGGACAGAGGAGGTATGATCCCTACTCCAATTCTTACAATGAAGGGTGGAGGGATCATCCAAATCTGAGATATGGTCCCAGACCAAGTCCCCCAGGTTTCCAAAATACAAACAACAATTTTTCTGCCAATCTAAACAACCCTCCTGGTCCTGTTGATAAAACACACCAAATGCTGGAAGTAATTTTGAAAAAAATGGAGGACAAGTTCTCCCTGGTTGATCAGAATATGAAGTTAATGCAAGAAAGGCAAACAGCCCAGGATACCTTGTTGAGTAATTTGCAGGCCCAAATTAACAACAGGTTACCTGCTCAACCATTTCCTGCTCCTAAGGAGAATGTGAGTGCTGTTGTCCTTAGGAATAACAAAGTTCTTCCTGAACCTT